TTTTAAAAATCTCTGATTTATCAAGTGTGGTTAGATCATAATCAGAGTTTTCCTTTGTGTAAAGAAATGTGTAGGTTAAAGAATCAATGGATTTCAGTTGGTGATTTGTTCGATAGATGGAGATAAAATCTATATCTGACGACGCAGTTCCATTGTTCCCACAATTCAAACACGGTAATGAGAGAAATCACGTAGCATTCCATTCATCGCGATTAGATTACACTAACTTTAGTTTTCTTTATAAACGGTAGATAATTCAATTAACTGCTTTCAGAAAACAGATAAAATTGAAGTTCGTGTGTAACATTCTTCAAAAAAATTTGTAAATTTTTTACAGGAAGATAAAATAAATACTAGTCAAGTGATTAATTTTAACCGACAAACAATGTCAAAGTTTGATAAATTTTTATTGTTTTTACAATTGAAATAATAAGAGACGGTGTTTAGATTTATGGAATGTGTATAGGTTGCAATTCAAGTTTCTCCTGAAGACGAAGAATTCTAATTGACCGAGGCTGATAGGTTTCTAATCGTAAGATTCTAACGTAACGACCTATGATTCTCTGCCATTCGAGTGATGAGATGTGAAGTTAGTTGCAGAGAAACTCTTACTTGATAACACAGTACGTCATAGAAACATATTTGAATTCTTGGGCAAGTTAACCTTATTTTCAACTATAGAGTTCGTATACACAACTGTAGTTCAAAAGTAATAGAAAAAGCAAAATGTATAGCAATGTATAAGAACTGATTGACGAACCTTTTTCAACCATATACATATATCAATGATTCTTTCATTTCATCTGAATGTTCAAAATAGAATATTCATAAAAATAACTTTTTCCAAAGTTATCTAAATTCCTTACAGTAAGAAACCTCCATCAACAAATTTCACTCAAGATTTACATCTATCAAATCACCTCTGTTCTCTCTATGATTCCTGATAGACCGAATAAAATTTACACGAAGGAAGATCCCTTCGATAACAGCTGAACAACAACGACCTGCCTCCGGAATTAGGAGGCGTGTAACAATATAACTTACTGTTAGAGCGACATTCACAAACAAGAGAAAAGAGTAGAGAGAGTGAGACCTGTTAAGAAGAGGCAACACTGAATAGACATCATAAGAGAGTCCGAGATTCTGAGATCTTCCGACTTCTCCCCTCTCCAGGATCTGACCCTTATGAGAGAACAACGGTACCAGCATCATCGTCACATGCACCACGATTAGACGTCACACTGGTCTAAAACTCGACCTCGATCGGTGACCTCGATGAGTCCTTCTCCCTTCTTTTCCCTCATTTCTTACCGTGATTCGATGTCGTCGTCTCATCCACAATAGTGATCCACGAATTAGATTCAAAGTGATGCATTGTTGACGGTCCAGATGTAGGTTAGGTTAGGTTAAGTGAGCGAAATGGAATTTTTGATACGTTTATAGTGGGGAAGAGGATCTGCCAGTAATTACTGTTGAACATTATTGGTTTTTATTATCAAATACTATATAATGTTTTGTATAAAATATGAAATAGCTTTTTTCTTTATTTAAAGAAGACATTGTGCCTTCTATTATATGAAATAAACTCGTGATGAAAAAAATGTTACTTTAAGGTTATGTTACAGAAAATGTTAAGAAAATCAACGTGAACTTCACACAAGAGGTTAAAGAAAGTTTATTCAGAAAATGGAATTATTTACATAAAGCAGGATGTCCTACATAAAAGGGATAATTTTCTAGAAACTATATACAGTGTTTTAAAGTCGTAGCCCATGTCACAGATGATTGTTGACATACGAAAATCATTAATTACTTATTCGCAACACTGAAAAAACGCGCAAAGCCAGCTTGGTGAATAAAAATAATTCAAAAATAAAAATAATTCCTATATTGGATTTTAGTGTATAAATGTTAACTATTAAATTTATAAACTACGTACCGATACTGCTTTCTCATTTCTACCATACTTAGAATGTAAACTCAGCTATTCAAGAGTTTATTACCTTAAATGATCTCGCCTGAAGAAATCTAATCAAATTATGTATTGGAGAAACGCAGCAGTCATAAAACAATCAATATAATCGATTCTACTACTAAAAATATTTATTTTCTTATTCAAAGAATAATAATGCCTTAATGAGCTTGAAAAAATGAAAAATTTCAGTAAATACTATAAACATACAAAAATTACAATATTAATGTAATATAATAAAATATTTTGTATGTATATATCCTTTTTTTATTTTTAAATCTACTAACGTAAAAATAATCATGTAACAGTTATATACATATATAGCCTCTATTTCTATATCTACCAATGTAGAAATGTAGACGTAACAGTTCTAGATTCACTAATGTAGAACATTTCTATATAAATCTTTTGATTTCTATATTTACACATTTATTTTGAAATTTAATAATGTAAAAATACAAAGAAAATTTCTATATAAACCTACACGTGTATCGTGAATATAAAAATTTTACATAATAATTTCTCAATCTTAACAATACGAATCTACACCATACAGTAAATCTATACAACTTGCTATAGCACGTGCCTATAAGAAAACATTTCGGGCAATGGCGTAGGCGGAAGGACAAACAACGACCAGTTGCCCAACACAAAGTTATAACGAGAAGAAAGTCATAGTTGTGTAGCTGTTTAGCTTGTCCCATTTACGCTTCTCTTCTCGAACGTAAAAGACGTGCGTTTAAACATCCATACAAGCTTCCATTATTTTTTTTCTCATGGAAACGTTCGTTGGCCAGTATCGATATTTTTCTACTCGTAGAAACCGGAAATCACGTTGGTTTATCGGTAGGGTGGAGAAATCTCTTTGGCCAACAAGAACGTCTCCGCTGTAACTACTTACCTGCTTCAGATATTGTTTTCTGTCATTACTAATTACGAGTAGATTCAAAATATCAAATACACTTACAAAATATTTCTCCAACATATTTCTATTTTTACAACGCAACGTCATTCTCCAAATATTTCTAAATTACACATCTCTACTAATTTCACCAACACTCCCGCGCATCGATTAAAATGGAACACGCTGTAGACTCACATTCGCTTTCTCTATTAGAGATATTGTCTTACATCTCTGTTGAACAGTCTAACAGTACTATACATTCCCTCCCAATTAAGCACAAATTACTCACAATTCAAAATAACTGCTATAAATCTCTACCTCCTACTGGAATCTAACCTCAACTTATTTATACACATTCTGTTTCAATCATGAATCATTTTTCAAGACAGTTATTAACTTATGCTTCTCTTGCATTTACTACAGTTAATTACCGTTACTTATCGATGATAAAAAATTAGGAACGCTAAATTTTCTTGGTTTCTGAGCAAGAAACGAAGCAAACGTGAAAATCAGTAAAATTCGATTCACAGTTGTATGAGTAGAGAAAAAGAGAGAGAGAGAGAGATTCGAGTGTCAAATCGAACTCTCGAAGTCTCGATGTCACGATGGCTCTTCTACATATGTGACACGTAATTTTCAGTGAAACCAGTAGTAGTGCCGTTTAATCCGTTGCACTTGGGAAACGTGATACGTTTTAAAGTAGTTTTACAGTCGAGATTTCACTTTCCTGCTTGTTCGCGAATGATTTGATATACAGAGTGACCAGAAGAGATGAATAACCTCATATGTAACAGCTTTTGTAAAAATATGAATTATAAGAAAAAGATATTACAGGTTATATCGATAAGTTATATCATAAAAGATTATATTTACATAAGTATATTTATTAATTTTTCTTTTCAAAATCTTTCAAAAACGTGTTGTATACACAATGATCATCTTAAGTGACCTTGAATTAGGGAAATAAATATTTTTAATAAAAAGTTTTCTTTTTATAGAAACGGTTACTCGTTTGTATAAAAATAAATGAAATTGTTGTTCAAATTTTTTGTACGAAGAAAATTGATCGATGTTATTACGAAATGAAACTGAAGAAGACGGTGGTTTTCTAAAACGAGCAACATTGAAATTCAATCGAAAATAAAAAACTCTGATTATGGATATGTAATACAACTGTATACTATTGTATACAAGTTTCTACATACATACGTACAGTTCGAGAAAGCGTAACGTAATCCTTAATTTTTCTCGGTCTAAAACAGTGGCTCCTACTGTTACATGTAAATCCGCACTTAAAGCAAGGGCGCGCGACTTTTACTATTGCGGATCGCCTTTCAGATCTTCAAAACATTCGTATATTTTTTCTTTTTTTAATTTTACACGATTTTGTACATAGTCGATTATAATAAAAAACTGTTAAATAATAAGAAATGAAAAAAAATTCCGTATTCTTTACGTCCATTTCGTAAATTCATAGAAATCCACCATTTCATTATC